ACCCTCTCCCATACGCTTTTCTAAAAGTTTTAGTGCTACTTCTCCCACCTAAGTGCTTTATCTAGGTCACATTTGTTTTTGTGTTTGGTGTAAAGTCAAAATTTTATTTTATTTTCCTATATGAATAACTACCTTTCCCAGCATCATCAGTTGATTAGGCCTTTCTTTCACCACTGGCATTCTACTGTAAATCAAGTTCTATATTCACATGGGTCTGGCTCTGTTTTCTGATCTATGAGTTAAATTTGTCATTCTCTCACCCAATGCCTCACAGACTTCGGTACTACAGCTTTAATATAAGACTTGATAGCCATAAGACAAGTGTTATTCTTTTTTAGGAGTTTCTGGGCTATTTTTGGACCTTCATTCTTTCATGTTAACTTTGAATTACTTTGACAAGTCCCACAAAACAAAAACTCTATCAGAATTTTGACTGAAACTTTAGTTAGCATACAAATCTATTTGATATATCTTTATGATATGAGGTGTTCCTATCTATGAACTTAGTGTATCGCTTTATTTAATTTTCCTTTAATTATTAGTAAAGTTTTATAATTTTCTATATACAGGACTTATATATTTCTTGTTAAATGTATAGACACCTACAGCTTTCTAGCAATTGTTGCTATGGAACAACATCCAAATTGTTGTATGGAACTGCAATTGACTTTTTTGTATTGGTCTCCTATCCAGCCACTTTGCTATAAACTCCTTTATTTTTTCTAACCAGTTGCCTTTTACTTTCTATGTAATCCATAAGAAACCATGGATTTTTTACAGTTTGCTATATAGATAGTTATATCATCTGTGAATAATTGCAGTTTTGTCTTTTTCTGAATAATCTTTCAGTTTTTCTGACTGTATAGGACTTTCTGTATAATGGTGAATAAAAGTATTGGTAATGGGAAGTCTTACTTTGTTCTTGATTTTTTTTTTTTTTTTTGAGTTGGAATCTCACTCTGTCGCCCAGACTGGAGTGCAGTGGCCGCTTCCGGCCACCGCAGCCTCAACCTGCTGGGCTCCGGCGATCCTTCCGCCTCAGCCTTCCAAGTAGCTGGAATTACAGGCATGCGCTACCACGCCCGGCTGATTTTTTTTTTTATTTATTGTAGAGATGAGGTCTCGCTGCCCAGACGGGTCTCGAACCCGCGGGCTCAGGCAGTCCACTCACCTCAGCCTCCCAAAGGCGCAGGATTACAGGCTGAGCCACCGAGCCCGGCTTTGTTCTTGATTTCAAAGAACACTATTTCCCCACAGATAGGTTAAGATGGATATACGCTGTTTGTTTTTTGTAGATACCTTTTTGATCGTTAAGGAATTTCACTTTTTAAAATTTGCTAAGGGCTTTAAATGATATGGGCGTTGAATTTTACTGAATGCTGTTCTGCATCTCCTTTATTCTGCTAATGTAAAAATGACATTGATTTTCAACTACCCTTGCATTTCTGGAATAAACCTGCCTGGGTTGTGGTAGATTATATTTTTTCCTCATTGCTGTACTTGGTTTTTTAATGCTCTAATTAGGAGTTTGCTTCTGTATTCATAAGTAAAGTAGGCCCATAATTTCTCTTTTAAAAATACTCTTCTTATCTGGTTTTGATGTTAAAGTTATTTTGGCCTCATGCAGTTTTACTCTTCCTCTGTTATCTGAGTTTATGCAGGACTAGCATGATCTATATGAGTACACTGAAGCTTTGATAAAGCTTACCTGTGTGACTGCTTATGTCTGCTTTGTATGTGAGAGAGTAGATGTTTAAGTACTTCATTTTTTTTAGTGGAAAGCCTGTCTAGTTCTATAAGTATTTCTTTTTTATTTAGTGGTTTCATAAGTTACAATTTTCTAAGTGTTTGTTCATGTTGTCTACGTTCTCAAATTTATTAGCTTAACATCATTGATAGTGTTTCCTTATTATTTTTTAAATTTCTGCTTGATCTGTCATTATGTCTCTTTTTTCACTTATAACATGACTCCTTTGTGCCTTCTCTCATTTTGTTCTTTATCAGTGTTGACAGGAGTTTGTCTCTCTTGCTAGATTTTTAAAGAACTTTTAACTTTTTAAATTCTCTTTATTGCAAATGTTGTCTATTTTATAGAGTTTTGGTCTAACTTCATTTTCTCCTTTTTTCTCTGTTTTTGTTTGACTTTTCGGTTCAATACTTGATCCATGAATTTTCAACATTTCTCCTCATATGAACACCTACTGTTATACAGATCTCTTCCACGGTCATGTTCGCTATACTCATGAGTTGTCCTAAGTGGTATCTTCATTATCATTCCATTCTAAGCATTGTGAAATCCCCATTTTGATGTTTTCTTTGACCTACAAGTTATATAAACAAGTGTTTTTGAATTTCCAAATGTGTGGCTTTTTTAACTTTTCTTTGTGCTTTTGACCTCTGACTTAATCAGAGACTCTGCTTTCTCGGAAACCAGTTCTTTGACATTTAGGAGGATTTGCTTAAGTCCTGGTCCTGGGTCAGTTAGTCTGTAAAAACTTCTATGTCTCTGGAGAAGAACGTTTGTCTCTGTTGTTGGGTGTGGATTTCTAAGTCTGCTTGAGCACTCCTCTTGACAGAATTCCTCAGATGCTTTCTGCTGCCATTGACTCTTTTCTTTTCTTTTTTGAGTTGGGCTCTCACCCTGTCACCCAGGCTGGAGTGCAATGGTACAATCATGGCTCACTGCAGCCTCAACCTCCTGGGCTCAGGTGATCCTTCCGCTTCAGCCTCCCGAGTAGGTGGGACTACAGGCATGTGCCACCATGCCTGACTAATTTTTTAAATTTTTTTTGTAGAGACAAAGTCTCACTTTGTTGCCCAGGCTAGTCTGAAACTCCTAGCCTCAAGTGATCCTCCCGCCTCCACCTCCCAAAGTGCTGGGATTACAGGCGTGAAACTCAGTGTCTGGCTCTGCCATTGTCCAGGGTTTTGTCCAGGTAACCCTCTGTTATCCCTGTCCCTTATGGCTGCTGGAATCAGGGGAGTCATTCAGAAGGAGCAGGTATCTGGGCTGGCCCTGGAGGATGAGGAGGATTTAGCCTGATTAAGTAGGATTTAGTAGGAGGGCCTGGGAGCAACATAAATACAGACGAGGGAAAGACAGGAAATGGTGTGGCCTCTAGGAAGAGGGTCAGAGATGAAGGAAGGTTGGGGCAAGACCAGAGGCCCTGGGAAAGGCCCCTCTTTGGAAAAGGGGCAGGAGAGAGACATCTGAGGGGCAATAAGAGAGACAAAAGGGAGGAGTTGGAGAGACCTGGGTTGTGGTGGAGACTGATGCTGTGGTCACTGAGGAGGGGACCTGGAGGCTGCTCCCAGGGGTGCAGTGGTGGCCATGTGACTATGTGGTAAGGAGGTTCTCAGCCATGCCTTGGGCCTGGCAGGCAGGGGGTTGGCACACATAAGATAGAATTTCACAAAACCTAATGAACATATCGCTTGAAGTGAATTTGTTGTTACTGACTGATGAATGTAAGAGATGATGTAAGGCATGACTTGATTTGACAAAATCAGAAGTTTGGGTTTTAAAGAATGATTCAGATGGTAGTGGGGGTGGGGCCGGGCCATCTAGGGTTCTAAAGAGAGCATGGTTTGAAACAGTTGCCCAAAGGGACCAGGCTGGTTGATGGACCAGGGACAGGAAGGATGGACCAAGGACCAGGAGTGATCAAGGTCATGGTGGGTGGAAAGCGTGTTGTTGGCCTCGGAATGGGGGCCTGACTGTGGCCATGTTCATGGTTGCTGGGATGAGGGGGTTAGGAAAGAATCAGCGTATCAAGAGGGTCATTTACCTGGGGGCAGAATGGTGACAGGGAAGGAGGGTGAGTGTTGACAGCGTGGTGAGAAATGTGGGGAGGATGAGTTAGCAGCAGGCGGTGTGGACTGAGGCAGGGGGGACGCCAGCTGAGCTATGAAAGCCACCTGGAACCATCCTTTCCTGGTAGGATGTTCACAGCCACAGAATTCCTTGCAAGCCCAGGAGGTTGCTAAGAGTGAAGGAGAGAGCCGTAAACATTTAATGGGAGACAGGACAGAGAAAGCCAGGACATACAATGTTAACTGAGGTGAGGAGGCAGGTGGGGGCTTTCAACTAAGCCAAGAGTGCATAGGAAAAATATCATAGGAGTAGAAGAGTTTTTTGTTTGGGGATTTTTTTTTTAAATAGGATTCCCAAGGTCTCAGTGGGAAGAGCCAGTAATGAAGCTGGGTGAGGAGAGGTGGCTCAGGGAGGGTCTTAGTGCATAGAATGTATCAGGAATAGTTGGTGTCTGTATCTGGGAGGGTGGGCTGTGGCATTGGAACAGTAACGGAGATGGCTGGCCAGGTGACACAGGAGGTATATGAGGGACTGACCAACCTGGGGACTTGCCTGGTATGCTGATATGACTTGCAGGCCAGTCCAAGCTCTGGGATCTTCAGATGCTGGAGCAAAGTGACCATGGTGTCTTTGACTTGGGAACCGGACAAGCTGCCAGACAAATTGTGTTTTGGTTTCCTCTTCTGATCTTCTCTTCTATCCAGAAGTCTTCCTCCCTGGGCTGAGAGAATCTACATTCCCAGCTCTTCTCTTTGAATATGTGATGTGTGAGCCACAGCTGTGTGGCTGCTGGTAGTAAACATTCAGGCACATGAAGCATCCTTGGGGCACATCAGATGGGCACGTAGGGGTAATCAAACCAAATGGAAGGTAATTTGTTTGTTTGTTTTTCCCCAAGTAAGATGGATATGGAGGAATTGCATAGAAGCTGACAGAGATCTAGGAAAACCTCTAAACTTAACCTTGATTTGGGGGAAAAGGATCAAGAGGTAGTGTAGTGAGTAATTAGACCCATCATGGAGAGCCTGGGTGGAATTTTTGACAAAGTTTGTTTCTGTAGTTGTCACTGGGGAGAAATACAACAGAATGGAAGACTTTGAAAGTAACTGTTCTTCCGGGAACTCTGGAGTCTTTGTTGCCATCAGAAGCATTCTCGGGTGCTGGAGGGGAGATTCCGAGGGGGGACATGTTGAAAAAGGCAGAGTCCCTGAAGATGGTTGATAGTCTGCAGATGGGAGAGCAAACACAACCAGGTCTGCACCATGGCTCTGCCAGGAAACCGGGTCATATGGCTGTCCAGGGACTATGCATTCCCTGGGCCATGCTGCTTGGCCGGTGTCTTTAGGGCACTTGGGTTTGTGCCCCAACTTAAAGCAATGCAGAAAACCCTTTAACATGTTAATTGCTGCAGTGACTCAGATGGAGGCAAAGTGATCACACAGCACTGGCGTTGGTTTTCACGACAGACATTCCTATCACCAAAACCTGTGCCTGTTCTCCAGAGAATGAGCTCTAAGCCTTCTAAGAGAGCAGGGTGTGTGTGGCTGCCTTGCTGTGAGTCACCTGAAACATTGCTGGGCCCAGTTCCACCTGTCAAGGATATGTACCATGAGCCTCTCTCTCTAGGAAGGTAGTGGAGATACCAGGCATCAGCTTAGGAGGTGGTGGATACCACAGATAGAATTTCACAGAACCAAGTGAGCATCTCTCTCACTTGAAGTGGATTTGTCTTTACAGACCTGTGAACATAAGGAATGACGTCAGGCTTATTTCATTTTACAAAGTCAGAAGTTTGGGATTTAAAAACTGTTTCAGCATGGAATTAGACAGATACTGCAGGCTTATTTTATAAGAGTTTATAAATAATAGATAAGAAATAAGTTAGCTTCAAGAAACTGGAAAATCCAGCTGATTGCCAGACCTGGTGATATCACATGCCCCATAAGGGGGTGCTCCGGTTGCCTGTGTGTGGCACTGTCTACCCCACCCCCAGCACAGCTCCTTGGCCCCCACTCACCCTGTGTGGCAGTGTTATTTGCCTTGACCTTTTTTGGCTCTAAGTGGGATTATTTTCCCCACAGGGACCACTGATGAAGTACTATTTTTAAGAATTGAAATCAAAGGACAATTGGGATGTATTATCTAACTTTGCAATAACTTTATTTTATTTTATTTTGAGCTGGAGTCTCACTCTGTCACCTAGGCTGGAGTGCCATGGTGTACTCATGGCCACCCCAGCATCAACCTGCTGGGCTCTGACGATCCTTCCACCTCAGCCTTCCAAGTAGCCAGAACTACAGGCACACTCCACCACGCCCGGCTGATTTTTTATTTTACTGTAGAGATGAGGTCTTGCCAAATTGCCCGGGCTGGTTTCAAACCCATGGACTCAGACAATCCACTCGCCTCGGCCTTCCAAAGTACAGGAATTATAGGCTGAGCCACCGAGCCCGGCCTACAATAACTTTATTTCAATGCAGGGGGAGTGTGATTAATCCCATTGCAAAGAAAGGGAAGGAGAAGAAAAGTTAAAGATCTTGCCCAGAGTCCCTTTTCGCATAAGCAGAGGAGCTGGGACCAGATCTGCACAGCCTGGCTCCAAGGCCAAGGTCTTCCACTGCTGAACTGACACCCTTTAGAGTGTCCTCAGCCCATGCACGGCAATTACTGGGGTCCGTTCATTGCCACCTCCCTACTTCCCATCCATCTTTACCTTGTGTGCTTCCCCCCTCTCTCTCTCTCTGGTCCCATCTTTCCTTGAAATTTCAGTAGAGAAAATATTGACTCCACTGCTAGGACTTGCTCTTAGGAGCCCCTCCTCTGGAGGCAGGCCCAGGGCCCACGTGGCCAGACCAGGGGTCCCCTGAATCTAGAATAGTGCCTGTCCAAGCAGCTGTTCAGAGACCTGTTGAGGGAATGGACAGATGCCTGTAGGATCTGCAGATTCTCCAGAAGACAAGGGCACAGATTTGAGAAGGAAGAGGAAGGAGCAGTCAGAACTGCCCAACAGCCAGGGCACTGCTGCCAATAAACACACAGAAGGTGTGGCAGGTATTGCTGCCAATAAACACACAGAAGGTGACTACAGAGGAGCTTGTCACTGTGGGTGGGTCTTCATCAGGTCCCCGTTGACAGGATACTGTTATGTGCTTCTTAGTGAATCACGAAGCAGGAGAAAGGGCGGAGAGAGAATAGGATGATCTGATCGGTTTTCTCCCACTCTCCTTTCAAACAATTACTTCTCATCTATAAATTACTGCTTCTGAAGTTTTACTTTGAATATGAATGTACTGTCAAAATCATTTATTGGCAATTATTCTAATAAACCACAGATGTTGGCATGAAAGGGACAGAGAGAAAAGTTGATGGAATATCTCCCTTGAGAGTAGAAACTGAGGCCAGCAAGGGTGCAGAGATGGGCTGGGTCCTGGTCCCCTGACTATCATACTGCTTGCAGGAAGAGTACCAAATGCCGTTTTTAAATAATTACATGAAAATAATCGCACAAAGCCCTATTTTTAGTTTATAAGCCAAGATATGCTTTGCATCTGGGAAAGGGTGTCCCTCAAGTTGTATTTCAGTGAAGTCATGACATCTGCCTCATAAGTAGCTTCTTCATTTTTAATTACTGGCGTGGGGGTGAGTCACAGAAGCAGAATGACACTGCATGTTTCGCTAGGTCTGTTTTTAATTGGTGTTACTGAGTTTGGCTCCTGATGCAGTTGGATCAAAGTTTTATGTATCTTCCTGAACTGTGAGCCACCTGTCTCAGTAGGGCAAGCTGCCATGAGGTCAGCATAGGAGCTTGGTCACTATGCTACCTGGCAGCAGGCCTTGGAAGCCATTACTCAGGATGGGCGTCAGGATATGAGGAAGCTGAGCTTGCAACTGTGTTTGGCCGACCCTCTTATCACCCACTAGTCAGCCGGGATTTGCAGAGTCATGGTGGGGTTGGGGACTCAGGCTGCCAAGAGCATTACCACCTCCTTCCTCTATCCTTTTTCCTTTAAAGGAAGCCACACAACAGAGGGAGCAGAATAGGGGACAGAGCTTCCTGGAGCTAAGAGTTGTTGGTAGTTATAGCTGGACAGTATTTGCAAACTCCATTTCTGTCTCCTCCACCTTGGGGCTACCTGTGCTTTCTCCCTCTCAGACCACTGGATGCTGCTGGTACACTGGAGCCATGGTCCCAGCAACCTAGTGACACAGGAGAGGCAGGGAAAGGTGGGGACAGAAAGTAGAGGTGTGTGAGTGGGGTCAAATGCATATAAGAGGAGATGTACCATCTTAACCATCTTAAGGATATGGCTCAGTGGCGTTAAGTACATCTGCACTGTTGTGCAACCATCACACCATCCATTCCAGAACTTTTCATCTTCCTGCACTGAATCTCTGTACCCATTAAAGGCAAACTCTTCATTTCCCTCTCCCAGGCCCTGGCAACCACCATTGCACTTTCTGTCTCTGTGAATCTGACTGCTCTAGGTACCTCATATAAGTGGAATCACACAGGAGTTGTCCTTTGTGACTGGTTTATTTTGCTTAGCATAATGTCCTAACAGTTTGTCCAGGTTGTAGCATGTGTCAGAATCTCCTTCCTTTTTAAGATTGAATAATATTCCATTGTATGTATATATCACATTTTGTTTACCCATTCGTCCATCAGTAGATACTTGGGTTGCTTCCACCCCTTGGCTATTGTGAATAATGCTGCTCTGAACATGGGTGTGCAAATATCTGTTTGAGACTCTGCTTTCAATTCTTTTACGTATAGGAGATATTTATTTTTAAAGTGAAAATGTTGAAGATTAATTTCTCTGAAATACCTTCTAATTTCCCTTAGGATAACTGCTCTTAGGTGAGGGTATTTTAGATATTAAAATTTGAATTCCTTCATATGAAAAAAAATCTTTTTTTTTTTTTGAAACCTTACAGCCTCCTCCAACGTGAAGTTCGTTCATCAAACAGTCCTGAGCTGCTGCCTAGCACTGACCTTTCTTTCTGGGGAGCCTGGGGGGGCCTAGCAGGAGCCAGATGGGCGTCCCTGACTTCCCTTGGTGCTCAGTGTAGCTTTGTTCTCAGATGCGTGGTGTAATCAGCCTGCCCAGGTGTGCTGGATGTAGCCACTGGTGCCAAAGGTCATGGACACACTCTGTTCTTCACAAGCAGAACTGCTCTCTGCTGACAGCAAATCTGGGCTTGTGCCAGAGCATCTCTCCCCTGGCGAATTTTCCAGATGAGACTTTCTGACGATATGGCACCTCGCCCTACTTCTTCCATACTCAGAAAGAAAAAAGTAAACAGTAGGCCTCCTCAAGTTAGGGAAGTCTGAGCCAAATGTCTAGATCCCCAGTTTTGCCAGCTACCTGCAGCCTGCAATTATATTTGGGGCAGGCTACACAGTGGTGGCGGCAACATTTAAAATGAGTTGCTATTATTAAAACTTGAGAGAGCTCGTGTAGAATCTGAATGTCAGCTTCTCTGGAAGACTTTGAGAGCTCGGGCAGTTCTGGGTTCCCAGAGTCTCCACTGGCTCACCTCCTCCCCCAGAAGGTCACTATCTGGGCCCTATGGGTATTGGGGGTACCCTTACCCAACTAGAGGGATCAAACATATCACAGGGAAGTTGGTAGGCAGCAAGGAGATATGGCTTGACCCCACCCTCACTACCAAGTCTGCTGCTCAGGGGGCAGCCTTGGTGGGGTGGGGGTGGGGCAGCAAATGCTTTGCCTGGGAGCTTGGAGCTCGGTGGTGGGCACATGAGGGGCAGGACCAGGGCTCAAGCAACTTCTCTACCCCACAGGTCACCTGCTCTTGAAATAAACCTCATTTGCTGTCTGTCTCTTTTAAAAAATAATTCCTGGCCCCATGGGTTCTGCTTTGATGAGAGAAAGCAATGGTGGTAGATTGTAAGAACCAATCTGTCATTGGCACATAGAATTGGAGGAAGACACTCTCAGAGAAGAGTTATAGGAATCAAAGCAAGTCAGCTCTTGCCTTCAATTCTAGACTGTATGTTCTTTAAGCTTTATTTGGGAGAGGGGGCTGGAAAGTCTGGTTCCCTCGTTTCATTGCAATTAAAACTTTCTTTTTTTAAAATTGTGAAACAGTCGCAAACTTACAAAAAAATTGAGCATAAACCACAAAACATTGACCCATTGGCGAGAATGCTGTGGACCTGGCCCCCTCAGCCCTAATACTCTAGTGTGTCTTTCACATAAGCAAGGACAGTCTCTAAGAACCAAGTAGTAGAACCATGGAGACCAGGGAATTACGATTGGTCAGTTACCTGTGATAATTGCTTCTAATGTGTTAACATATTTGATCAGTCCCCTGGTGGGTAACTGATCTGACATGTCCTCTGACCGCATCATCCCCAAGTGGGCACCCTCCTCACCCTGCCTGGACTTTGACACTCAGAGTGGGCTATTCCCACCCACAGGTCCTATGGGCTCTGACTTCCCTCCCTCAGCATGGGTACCCTCCTCACCTGCTAGGCAATGTCTTGTTCCCTTATTCTGGGCCACCCCAGGTCTCCTCCACTCCCTTAGCCCCGCCACATACTCTCCATACTCTGCCCCATATGGTGGCTTTAGGATGGAACATTTCAGGAAGAAGAGTTTCATGCTTTAATCTTAAATCAAAAATGAAATAAAAATGAATATTAAAGAGGTGTTGGGTTTAGGAATCTGGTAAAATGGCTAATTCCAGACACCCATAAAGAACCTTTTAACCAGTAAATGATTTAAAATGGAGATCTTCAAAGTAAAGATTGTAGTTTTTCAGAGAACTCTTTGTGTATGTTAAAAAAAAATAGGATGAGACCACATATACAAATTAAACATTTGCATCTGAAGTCAGGTCATTCAGTTTGCCAACCTAAGGGAAGAGAAAAGTGGTCTACTAAGTAAAAATTAATGATTTTTCAGGAATTTGTAGGAAGTTGAGCAGCTTAATTGCCATTTGGGTGGATACGTGTTGAAGAAAGTAATTTTAGGGGACTGGGAAATTGTGCAATAATCTTAACTTGGGTCAGGATTGTAATTACTGCAATAACAGAATGTTGCTATGTGTATATGTGACTGAAATGGGAAGCAGTTTTTTAAAACTGCTTTAAAAAATAACAACAAAATGTCCATTCTCTCTTTCTCTCTGGACTTGCTTAATTATAAATACCCGGTAACCCAGGGTTGGCTAAATATAGGTTCAGTGGTCATCTATGTTTATAACATTTTTCGGGCGGAAGTCACCAGAGCAATACAGAATTAATTTGGTGTGTAGGTTTTTATAGGCTCTAATTAGTTATGTTTTTCTTAAGCAGACCAATTGGGATCAATAACATTATATAACTGAACTCAGACAACCATGACTTTTAGACACAGTCTCTTCCCAGAAAGTCAAGTCCCTGGAAGATGCCGGGCCTGAGGACAGATGCACGACTCTGGAAGCCACATGCAGCAGCTGTAGAGTGGACGGGACTCGGAGCATCTGTTTTCAGCCAAGGGCAGGCTTTGGAAGTGATAAAGTGAATAGTTTTTTTGCAAAGTCAGATGCTTCTTCTACAGCCCATTCATTTCTGAGACCTTGGATTGTGACATTCTGGGGCTGCTTATCAGCTGTTCCCGTGAGGCAAGGTTTAGCCAGGCTGGCCTGGGGAGGTAGGTGGCGTTTTTGTGGACTGACCAAAGTATGCACTTAGCCAACCTCCTTCCAAACCCAGTTTGCTGGCTCGAGGACTTGTGGAGTTGCACCTGTGTCTGCAGTCACGTCCATTGCAGAGCGGCGTGGGCGGGTGGACCTTTGGAACCATCTGATGTCATTTGGGGTAGATTCAACATGCTTCTCAGTGACTCTGCTGCAAATCAAACATGATAAATTAGACGGGACTGTCCTCCTCCATTTCTCAGGATCTTCAACAAAGGCCAAGGCCGCTGCTTTTCCTTCAAGGAGGCAGGATGAGCCCCAGCTGGCAGTACCCACTGGTATCTGTCAGACCTCACACCTGCCCCATGAGCAGGGAGGGGATTTGAGCTCGCTGTGCTTGCATTGAAAGACAAAATATGCCGAGAGAGGCTCTTCCTGTAAACACCCAGTCCAGGCCTCTCCCCTCTGCCACTTGGCTTCTGCCTCTCCCTTGCTTGGCTTTGTGAGCTGTTTACACACTTCCCACCTGTGGACCCAGGCGCCTTCCTTTCCACAGCTGGTTGTGCGAAGTGAGGGGAGAATGCCTGTCTCTTGAATGGATTGCAGAGCCCGCCTCAGATCTTCTGCCCACAGAGGCAGCCAGGGGTCTCGCCCAGACCACACAGCTGGCAGGTGGTCTGCCTGACTCCACAGCCCGCACTCCAGCCTCAGGACTGTCCTGGAAGGGGGCCTGAGAGAGCTCTGAAGTAAGACAGCAGTGCCTAGGCTGGGAAGCACTGGGGTCTCGGCCACCCTGCCTCCGAACGTGGGGCCTCACTGGAGAACTATACACAGGTGGCATGGGAAGACCTGTGTGTCCTCCCAGTGTTCTTTGGAGCCAGAAGTCTGTTCATTTCACCAAACATTTTTTGAGCTCCTTCTGTGTACCAGACGCTGCCAGCCCCTGAGGACTGACAGATGACATATAGGTTTTGCCCTGGGTGGCTTATGGTGTAGGAAGGGTGTGATAGGGCCTGCGAGGTCTGGGAGGGCTTCCTGAAGGCAGAGAAGGCTGAGGTGATGGTTAAAACAATGTAGTCGTTAGTCTTGTTGGTGTGAGAGGACTGGCTTGAGCAGGCACAGGGGTGTGAAACTGCAAAGGAAAGCACAGGCCCTCACATGGGACCACAGAGGGCAATGTGGGCAGGGGCAGGCCTGTGGCAGGAGAGATGGCCTGGCAGGGTTGTGGAGACCTTGGTGTGCCCTCTGAAGGGATCATGCTTTGTCTTCTAAGATGGGGAGGAACTGAGGTGGCAGTTTCAGTGCAGTGGTCTGGAAACGACCTAGAGGCCAGTGAGGGCTCCAGCAGAGGGTTAGGCTGCCTGCACTAGGCGGGGACGGTGGGTAGATGGGGTTGGGAACTGTTGAAGATGCTTTGAGAGGGTTTGGTGGTGCCTTTCACCAAAAAAAGGAATTCCTAGGGATGAGAAACAGATTTGGGATGGGGGTGGTGAGGGCTGTACAATGGAGTTGATGCTGTTTTAGTTTGGGGGTATATAGTGTCTGCTGACCCAGGTGCTCTGCCAGGAGCCAGAGGGCAA